TTCACACGGGAAGAAATAGAAAACCTGAACAGACCCATAACGAGTGAAGAAATCGAATCAGTGATCAAAAATCTCCCAACAAATAAGAGCCCTGGACCTGATGGTTTCCCTGGGGAATTCTACCAGACATTTAAAACAGAATTAATCCCAATTCTTCTCAAGCTATTCCAAAAAATAGAAGTCGAAGGAAAACTCCCGGACTCATTTTATGAAGCCAGCATCACTCTGATTCCCAAGCCAGACAGAGATCCAGCAAAAAAAGAGAACTATAGGCCAATATCCTTGATGAATACGGATGCAAAAATTCTCAACAAGATCCTTGCAAATCGAATCCAGCAGCATATCAAAAGAATCATCCACCAAGATCAAGTGGGATTCATTCCTGGGTTACAGGGCTGGTTCAACATTCGCAAATCAATCAATGTGATCCATCATATCAATAAAAGAAAAGATAAAAACCATATGATCCTGTCAATAGATGCAGAAAAAGCATTTGACAAAATACAGCATCCCTTCTTAATAAAGACTCTCGAGAAAGTTGGGATAGAAGGAACCTACTTAAACATCATCAAAGCCATCTATGAGAAGCCTTCAGCTAACATCATCCTCAACGGGGAAAAACTGAGAGCTTTCCCCCTGAGATCAGGAACACGACAGGGATGTCCACTCTCACCACTGTTGTTTAACATAGTGCTGGAAGTCCTAGCATCAGCCATCAGACAACAAAAGGAAATCAAAGGCATCAGAATTGGCAAAGAGGAAGTCAAACTTTCACTCTTCGCAGATGACATGATACTCTACATAGAAAACCCGACAGACTCCACCAGAAGCCTACTAGAACTGATCCAAGAATTCAGCCAAGTTGCAGGGTACAAAATCAACGTACAGAAATCGGTTGCATTTTTATACACCAATAATGAAGCAACAGAAAGAGAAATCAAGAAACTGATCCCATTCACAATTGCACAAAAAACCATAAAATACCTCGGAATAAACCTAACCAAGGATACAAGAGATCTGTATGATGAAAACTATAGAAAACTTATGAAGGAAATTGAAGAAGACACAAAGAAATGGAAAAACATTCCATGCTCATGGATAGGAAGAATAAATATAGTTAAGATGTCATTACTACCTAAAGCACTCTACACATTCAATGCAATTCCAATCAAAATTGCACCAGCATACTTCTCAAAACTAGAACAAACTATCCAAAAATTTGTATGGAACCACAAAAGACCCCGAATAGCCAAAGTAATACTGAAAAATAAAACCAAAACGGGAGGTATCACCATCCCAGACTTCAGCCTCTACTACAAAGCTGTCATCCTCAAGACAGTATGGTATTGGCACAAAAACAGACACATAGACCAATGGAACAGAATTGAGAACTCAGAAGTGGACCCAAAAGTATACAGCCAACTGATCTTTGACAAAGCAGGAAAGAATATCCAATGGAAAAAAGACAGCCTTTTTAACAGATGGTGTTGGGAGAACTGGACAGCAACATGCAGAAGAATGAAACTAGATCATTTTCTCACACCATGCACAAAAATCAACTCAAAATGGATAAAGGACCTGAACGTGAGACAGGAAACTATCAACACCCTAGAGGAGAAAGCAGGAAACAACCTCCTTGACCTCCACCGCAGCAACTTCTTACTTGACACATCCCCAAAAGCAAGGGAATCAAGAGCAAAAATAAACTGTTGGGACCTCATCAAGATTAAAAGCTTCTGCACAGCCAAGGAAACAACCCAGAAAATTAATAGGCAACCAACGGAATGGGAAAAGATAGTTGCAAATGACATATCAGATAAAGGGTTAATATCCAGAATCTATAAGGAACTCACCAAACTACACGCCCGAAAAACAAACAACCCAGTGAAGAAATGGGCAGAAGACATGAACAGACACTTCTCCAAAGAGGACATCCAGATGGCCAACAGACACATGAAACGATGCTCAGCATCCCTCCTCATCAGGGAAATACAAATCAAAACCACACTGAGATACCACCTCACGCCAGTCAGAGTGGCTAAAATGAGCAAATCAGAGAACTCTAGATGCTGGCGAGGATGTGGAGAAACGGGCACCCTCCTACACTGTTGGTGGGAATGTAAACTGGTACAGCCCCTCTGGAAAACAGTGTGGAGGTTCCTCAGGAAACTAACAATAGAACTCCCTTATGACCCAGCAATAGCACTGCTAGGAATTTACCCAAGGGATACAGAAATGCTGAGGCATAGGAGCACATGTACCCCAATGTTCATAGCAGCACTCTCCACAATAGCTAAAACATGGAAAGAGCCTAAGTGTCCATCAACAGATGAATGGATCAAGAAGATGTGGTTTATCTATACCATGGAATACTACATGGCAATGAGAAACAATGAAATCTGGCCATGTGTAGCAACATGGATGGACCTTGAGGGTGTTATGCTGAGCGAAATAAGTCAGGCAGAGAAGGACAAATACCGTATGTTTGCACATATAGGAGGATTAGGAGGAACTTAACTGAGGAACAAGGGAGAGAAGAAGGTGGGAAATGGTGGGGGAAAGGGAGAGAGGCAAAGCATGAGAGACTCTTGAATGCTGACAAAAACTGAGGACTGATGGATGTGGGGGGGAGGAGGGATGGGCATGGAGGAGGACACTTGTGGGGATGAGCACTGGGTGTTATGTGGAAACTAATTTGACAATAAACTATTTGTAAAAAAATAAATAAATAAAACTGGGCTTATTCCTTACAGGAGTATAGACCCCTGTTATTCAAATGGAGGAAACCCACCCTAATACTGGGTCTTGTCATCTTTTCTCACGCTGAATCTCAGTGACTTGAAGGGCAATCAGATGCTTTCTCTGCTGAATAAGTGTCTACCCTCTTCACCCCGTTCTGCCCACAGTAGACTGAGATTCTCACTCAGAGTTAAAACTGATGTTAGGATGGTACTACCTGTCTTCTCAATTCATATTTTAATGATTGAGGACTGGAGATATGCCAAAGGCGTATCCAAAGGGAATATCCAAAGTTGCACAGGAAGCCAGTGGTACACAGGCTCCCCAGTGCTCATTCCACTGTTCTTTCTGCAATACTAGGCTGCCCAGTCCAGTCTGGTGGCCTAGACAGACCACCAGAGAATATCATCAGCTGAGGGACTGCCCTCACATATCTACCACATCCTAAGACCATGTTTGTAGGGGTTTGCCCCCTTCTTCACTCTTCTTCTACAATATGGCTTCTATTCAGTTTGTGTTCAAAACTGTCCTAAAATGGTTGGTTTTAACCTGGATCTGACTAAAAGCCATATGCAGAGGTTTGCATCTGTAATCTCATGAATATTCCTCGGGAAAAGTACCCATCACTATCATTCAATTTTTAAGACAGCTATAACCTTAAATGCTAAGAACCATTGCACTAGAGCAGAGGTGCCCAGTAGAACTCTCTGTAATGATGGAAACGTTCTGTGTCTGCACTAATACAGCAGCCACCAGCCGGCTTTGGCCATTGGATACACTAAGGAATTGAGCTTTTTTACTTCATTTAGTCTTAATTAATTTGGATGTAAATGTAAATAACCACACATTAGGCTAGTGGCTACTACGCTAGAGAGCACAGACCTAGAGAATCACTCAAAGATTTGATCAGTGAGTCAGAGCTCCAGTGTTCAGAAGCCTCCAGGTACACTGCCCACTTACTACCTGGAAACCTTCTCTCCCTCTCTCAGGAGTCCTTTATCAAGGTCACCTTTATAAATGAGACCATTAATGCTAGGTTGTGAGAGGCTTGGGGTGGGAAGATGGGAGAGAAAAACAGAGCAGTAATATATTTGTTGGGCAGCCCTCTTCTTACGGTTGGGCAGGAAGAGTGCTGGCTGGTGGGATGCCTGCTGGGTGGCCACTGCAAAGGGAAGAAAATAGGAAAGACCTGGGGCTTTGAAGACCCTTGCCACAGGGTCCAATACTGATTCTAAGTCTTCTTGAGTCTTCAGGAAAAAAGTAATTTTTGCCTACGTGATGGGAATCGTAGAATAAAACATCTAGAAAAAAGATCTCAACAATTTCCCAAATTGTTCACTTAAGGCTTTTTGTCTAAGGCCATCAGGCTATTATTGTTTGAAAGAGCAAAGAGTCTTTGGAAGAGGTGTGCCGGATGGCCACAGTGTAGTTCCCCAAGTACCAGCCATGGTGATTGGCTCCCCTACCCGCTATCTTCCACCCAGTAGAATACGACAGACATACCTGCAGAAGCCCAGAAGGTGCAAACCGAGCGGTTGGTCATAAGACACCAACCTGGGGCACCTGGGTGGCTCAGTCACTAAGCTTCTGACTCTTGATTTCACCTCAGGTCATGATCTCACCATTTGAGAGATTGAGCCCTGTGTAGGGCTCAGCGCTGACATTGCAGAGCCTGCTTGGGATTCTCTCCCTCTCTCTGTGCCCCTCCCCAACTCTCACATTTGCACGTGTGCATGCTCTCTCTCTTAAAATAAATAAATAAACATTAAAAAAAAAAAGATCCCAACCTAAATGGGAGTACTTGCTTCAGTACAACAATCCTACCCGCAGAGGTTTCACCAAAGATCCTGCCTTAATTCATTGGGCCCTATGTAAGATCAGCAAATATCTATCCCAATTTCAGATCCACTCCAAAGACCTCACTCTTAGGAGCTTTGTTCGGAATTGGGTCCCTCTTCTTCTGGTATTACATTTTCAAAACTGACAGAGATAGGAAAGAAAATTGGATCAAACATTTAACATTTCACATTAAGTCTGACAGTGATGACCCTATGCATTATAATAGTTTAAATAAGTCTATTAATGATTTTTAAAAAAGTCTTCAGAAGAGAAAGTAAAATGGAATTATTAAGAATAAAGATCTCAGTGACATACTTTCCAAGCTCTTGAGTGAGTATTTGCAGGTGAGCAGAGAGCCCATTCTAGGACAGGAAAGAATCCTACAAATCACAGGGCCACCCAGGGATGAGTGTTCTACTTACCAACAAAGATGAAGTTGAACTCATGACTGTATTTGGTAACTGAACAGTTAGGAACTTGGACTTTGCATTTGTAGGGCCCCAAATCATGGGCTTCTGAGATGCTTAGGTTAAAAATTACGGGTTCATTTTTTCCATCCTGGGTTCTCAGGCACTTATCATGCCGAAACAAAAGATAGGTTATCTGTAGTGATTGGTACTGGATGGAACAAATTAAAGATATATTTTGACCCCTCATGACTGCATTTGTTTTTGAGTTCAGACTTGGAGAAGGGAGTTCTGGAAAACAGTAACACAAGAAAAAAAAGTCTCTGTTAATGTCTCTTAATAACTAAATGGTAATCTGGCCACATTTTGTGGGACAACGTGGTAAAGACACTCATTCCTGGAGAACTCTCTTGTCTGCACAGCCAGACTGACCAGTGTGTGAGAAATGCCTCAGCACCTACAGAGGCTTCTTCCAGTGACGGATGGGTGGCCTTGACCAGCTCTTCTGTGCTTACTATCTCTTCTTCTGGTGAGAGCTTGAAGTGGACACTCTTATTTTTCTTTTTAAAATTTAAGTTCCAGTTAGTTAACGCACAGTGTAATGTTAATTTCAGGTGTACAGTTTGATGAAGGGCACTCTCTTAAGACTGGCTGTGCTGACTTAGAGATGTTAAAATTCTGGGGTGCCTAGGTGGCTCAGTTGGTTAAGAGTCTGTACTCTTGATTTCAGCTCAGGTCATGATCTAACAGTTTATGAGCCTGAGCCCTGTGTAGGGTTCTGTGCTGATGGCACAGAGCCTGCTTGGGATTCTCTGTCTCCCCACTCCCCTCCTCTCTCCCTCTCTCTTTGTCTCTCTCTCTCAAAATAAATAAACATTTAAAAAATAAATATTGGGGCACCTGGGTGGCTCAGTCCATTAACCATCCAATTTTGGCTCAAGTCATAATCTCACCCGTTCGTGGGCTCAAGCCTCGTGTCAGGCTCTGAGCTGACAGCCCAGAGCCAGGAGCCTGCTTCAGATTCTGTGTCTCCCTCTCTCTCTGTCCCTCCTCCATTCGCAGTCTCTCTCTCTCTCTCTCTCTCTCTCTCAAAAATAAAACATTAAAAAAATTTTTTTAGAAATTAAAATTCTAGGTTCTCTGACCAAAACATTATGTCTGGTGACCTTTTTGGTCCACGATTTCTTTTAAATTTCTTACTTTGAAAAAAATTCTTATTTTGGAAAAATTTTAATGTAAGAAGAAGACCCATCTTCAACAAGTATCAGCTCATAGTCACACCTGCTTCATCTGCTTCTCATCCCTTTCTATTATCTTTATTTTTTAATTTTTCTTTTTGAGAGAGAGAGAGAGTAGCACGGGAGTGGGAGATGAGCAGAGAGAAAATCTTAAACAGGCTCCATGCTCAGCACGGAGCCCAATGCGTGTCTTGATCTCATAACCATAGGATCATGACTTGAGCCGAAATCAAGAGTCAGACATTTAACCAACTGACCCACCCAGGCACCCCCCCCTTCCATTATTTTAAAACAAGTCCCAGACCACATATTATTTCCTCCATAAATTTCAGTGTCGAGAAGGGGGAAAAGCAGCCCTTGACATGTGAGAACTGGCCTCTCTAGGAAGTGACCCATCACCCACCTCTAGAACACCAATACCAGACAAAGACACTGTGTCCATGTTGGATTGAGACAAACACAAGATAATTTCACAATCATTTCTGAACACAGATAAAGATACGAACATCGTCCAAGTCATAAAAAATGGTCAAACATCCCCTTGAACCGACTAATGAGTGACTGTTTCTTCTTCATTGGCCATGTCTCTGGCCTTGCTCTGTTCTTCCTGTCTTCCTAGCGTCTTATAACCAAGGATGTTTTTCTTTCACTGTTGTTATTTTTTTGTTTAAAAATCATTATGAACTCCTAGTTTACATATATGATGTATTTCAATCCATTGCAATTATTTTTATTGTCCCACTTTTTGGCCATGGGAAGCATCTCTAAACCAGCTCCTGAGTCCTTTTTTGTTTAGTTTTGTTTTGTTTGTTTTTAAGTAAGCTCTACGCTCAGTGTGGGGCACAACATGGGGCTCAAACTCATGACTCCAAAATAAAGTGTCACATGCTCTACCAACTGAGTCAGCCAGGAGCCCCTCGTGAGTCCTTTTGACACTACCTAGTAGTCTTTGATAGCTTGTATGTTTGTATTTTATTATTTTAAAATGCCAAGGGAAAAAATAACTCTCATCAGAAAATCTACTGTAAAAGAATAAAATTGTTAAAGAATTAAGAGAAATATTAGAAAATTGTTGTAATGAGAAGAAAATTTCTTCCAAATAAGACACAAAAATTGGAGCCACAAAGAAAAGACTGAAAAATTGACACCACTAAAACTTCAAGCTTTTCTATGCAAAATTAAGACAAATGACAGCCTAAAGGAAAATACTTAACGTATACATGAAAGCAAAGCATTCTTCATATATATATATATTAATGTGTGTGTTTTTTTTAATTTATTTCTGAGAGAGAAAGAAAGAGAGTGTCAGAAGGGAAGGGTCAGAGAGACACAGAATCTGAAACAGGCTTCAGGCTCTGAGCTGTCTGTCAGCACAGAGCCTGACGCGGGGCTTGAACCCACACACTGTGAGATCATGACCAGAAGCAGAAGTCGGACGTTTAACTGACTGAGGCACCCAGGCACCCTGAATAAGATAAAAATAACAACTGAATAAGAAGAAGAAGAATAATGGACAAGTAATAATATTAGAATAGGTCATTTCCAGAAGAATGAATGCATAAGGCCAAATAATGAGGGCCACGGATTGTTTGGGGAGAGGAGGGGTTCAGGCCCCTCAAAAATGCCATCAAGCTCCCTTCCACTTTTTGATCTGGACAATTTACATTTTCTCAGCTTCTGTAAGCTCAGCTTCAAAATAAAGCCTTTCTTCCCTTTGCAACCAGACAGCTGTCCTTCAGTTTCCTTTCCATAGAACTGCAGGAGCTTTCATGACCAATAAACATGAAAAAGATGCTCCACCTCACAAGCAATGAGGTCGCTATGAATTTTTTTTTAATTTTTAAAAATTTTTTTTAATGTTTTATTTATTTCTAGGAGAGAGAGAGAGACAGCGTGAACAGGGGAGGGTCAGAGAGAGAGGAAGTCCCAGACTGAAATAGGCTCCAGGCTCGGAGCTGGCAGTCAGCACAGAGCCCGACGCGGAGCTCGAACCCACGAACCGAGAGATCATGACCTAAGCGAAAGTCGGACGCTTAACCGACCAAGCCACCCAGGCGCCCCGAGGTCGCTATGAATTAAAACAGCACTGAGATACTGGTTTTTACTCACCAGATTGGCACAAATTTAAAAATGGATTTTGTCCACTGTTGAAGAGGGATGGGCACACTCACCCTTGTGACTGGGTACAGAGTCAGCATGATGAGAGGGCAACTTTATTCACATGCACATGGCCTTTGACCCAGCAATTTCACCTCCAGGATTTTATCCTCCAGAGGTGCTCTCCCCTCTCCTGTTGTCCACACAAGACGTTTTGTGCGAGGACATTTAATGCAGCATTGTTTACATTACAAAGAAAAAAGTGGATGCATCAGTAAGGGGGATGGTTACATGAACTGTGGCTGAGTCACATTACAAAATGCCAAGCAGCTGTTGAAAAAAGAGAGTCGAGTCTACATCTACTGCTTACAAGCGTGTCTATGATGTATTGCTATCTAAAAATAGGACAGGGCACCTGGGTGCCTCAGTCAGTTAGGTGCCAAGACTCTTGATTACGGCTCATGTTGTGATCTTGAGGTTCGGGAGTTTGATCCCCACATTGGGCTCCATGCTGACAGTGCAGAACCTGCTTAGGATTCTCTCTCCCCTTCTCCCTCTGCCCCTCCCCTGCTCTCTCTCTCTCAGAAATAAAGAAATAAACTTTAAAAAAATGTTAAAAAGGATATGTCACAGAAGAGTTTGAGTCCTAGGATACCAAATAGAGAATGACTGTTGATAGAGGTTGCTTCTGGAAATGGAGGGTTGGAGGCATAACCACACTCTCATATTTCATTTAGTCACAGCAACATGGGCTGGCATTTACTGACAGCACACATACACCAGGCGCTGTGCTAAGGGACATGGTTTGTCTCACCTAGTCCTTACAAGAACCCTTCCCCCCCACGCCCCTCATAGGTGATTCTACTATCCCCAAATCACAGAGGAATGAGATTGTCAGGCGATTGCAGCAGGCACCCAGGCTGCCTGTGGCAAAACAGTGGAACCAGGGTTCGGACCACAGCCCCGGCTGGTCTAATTCCATGATGATAAACCGCCTCCCAATATATATTTTTTATTTTGTTGCTTGAATTATTTTACAATGATTATGTGTTGATTTTCTAAATTAAAAAAAACAATAACAACAGAGAAGGAAAGAAACATTTCAGCGTAAAAACGGTCTCCAATTTTATCTCTGAACCTCAGGAAAGAGGCTTCAACTCCCTCCCTTCCATCATTTCCTTTTAAACTGTAGGTAACAGAAAAGACTGGACTCTGGTTCTTCACCTAAAAGCATTAGAAAGACTTATTCAGGAAGGGTTGTATTGAAAGCTGACTGTCTCCACCATGTTGGTGCAAAGGGCTTTGGTAGAAGAGAGAAGGAAGTAAATGAAACTTACGGCTCATTCTTTTCTCCTCACAATCCGGGGCAGCTCTTTGAACTGAAAGAGAGAAAAGGAACATGAGAAAACTCTTTTTCCACATCGTGTTTTGGTTTGGAGATGCAAGCTTCAAAACGGCAAATGAGCCATACATGTGAGAGAAGAAAAAAATCCCCCAAAAAACAGGTTTTTCAAACAGCTCCAAGCACAGGGTCTTGGAAGAAATCAGAGAAAAGGACACAGAGGAGGCATGATGACCCCATACTGGTGAGTCATTTAAGGAACTTCCTTTTTTTTGACCAAGTAAAAGAAATCGGAGGCGCCTAGACAAGTTTGAAACAATATGATTGGTTGGTTTGACCAACCTGTGTTCCCCCAATGAATTCTTGTACGAAGAGAGCTGTGGTAGGTTGCCCCTGACTCCGACTGCCTGGGAAGCTGGACAATGCAAAAAAATAAAATAAAATAAAATAAAAATATGACCATGATATTGTCTTTGTGAAAACCCACCTGATCATCTCTCTGGATTTTGGCCTATGTCAAAAGGGATTTAACAGAAGTCTTGGGAAGCAAATGACTGTCTGGAGTAGATACACAAGGCATCAGAAATGCCTGGGTGGCTCAGTCATTTAAGCATCCGACTTCGGCTCAGGTCATGATCTCGTGGTTTGTGGGTTCAAGCCCCCTGTCGGGCTCTGTGCTGACAGCTTGGAGCCTGGACCCTGCTTTGGATTCTGTGTCTCCCCTTCTCTCTGTCTTTCCCCAACTCACACTCTGTCTCCCTCTCTTGAAAAAAAAAAAAACACTAATTTTTTTTTTTTAAAAAACAGAATGCCTTTTATTAAATATTGTAGTAAAGGCTGATTCCTAGGCCCCACTCCAGACTCACTAGGGATAAAACCTGTGACTCTGAATTATAAAAAGGGCCCCCAGCAGCCTCAGAGTGTCTACAATACAACCCAGAGAGGCTTGTGATTCACTTCTACTCCATCTACAATTCTCCTGGCTCTGTGAATTGTATGCAGAAGTAAAATCACATAGGGGCGCCTGAGTGGCTCATGCGGTTAAGCATCCCATTCTTGATTTCAGCTCAGTTCATGATCTCATGGTTTGTGAGTTCGAGCCCCACATCATGCTCTGCACGGTCAGTGCAGAGCCTGCTTGGGATTCTCTCTCCCTCTCTCTCTCTCTGCCCCTCCTCTCCCTGTCTCTCTCAAAATTAATAAACTTTTTTTAAAAAGTTGCTTTTGGGGCACCTGGGTGGCTCAGTCTGTTAAATGTCCAGCTTTGGCTCAGGTCATGATCTTGTGGTTCATGAGTTTGAGTCCCACATCGGACTCTCTGCTATCAGCACAGAGCCTGCTTTGGGCTCTCTGTCCCTATCCCCTCTCTCTGCCCCTCAACCACTGGCAATTTCTCTCTCTTAAAAGTAAATAAACATTTAAAAAATTTTTAAGTTGCTTTTTGGGCACTTGTAAAAAACATGACAGTGATTGACAGTGATTTTCTTTTTTTTAATGTTTATTTTGAGAGAGAGAGAGAGAGAGAGCATGAGAAGGGGAGAGCCAGAGAGAGAGGGAGACACAGAATCCAAATCAGGCTCCAGGCTCAGAGCTGTCAGCACAGAGCGAACCCACGAACTGTGAGGCTTAAACATGGGGCTCAAACTGCTTCTGCTCACAGAAGTTGGATGCTTAACCAACTGAGCCATCCAGATGCCTCAACGGTGATTTTCCTACTGGGATATTGGTGGCAATTTCTCTTGCTAAAGAGGAGGGAATGCACCTCACAAGTTTAATCTCCATGTCAGAATTGTTGCCAAAGGAAATTGGAGGTTTCGCAGGAATGGAGCATTTGACACTTTCCCCACGAGCATCTCATGCATCCTTGCCTGGGTGGTGGGCAGGGCTGTCCCTGAGAACTTTCATGCCCAGGAGGACTGGGGGACAGGGGCAGGGGTACATTCAGAAAAGCTGACGTGTCTGGGACATTTTCCCCATCTGAAACTCAGCTGTATCAGGAAACTTGCAGACCGCAGCTCGGTTGCTAAGAGAGCAGAGGAAGTGCTACTAACAGCTGTTGGTAGATAGGTACTCATTGGTAGGGATACTTTATCGAGGCCCCATGAAAGGAAAGTAAAAAATCTCTATGAGATGTGCAGAGGTATTACAAATATTTAACAACCAAAAAAAAAAAAAAAAAAAGAAACCCACAATCCCCCCAAATATTTAATGTAATTAACATTACAGCAGAGTAATGTAAATAATTATTAATTCAATGCACAGATCAAAAATTTTTAAATATACTCTACCACCACCCCTGCTTTATTTCTAAGGAAACTAAGCCATGTTATATGAAGCTACTTAAGAAGTAATATACATTTTTAAGCAAATTGTTAATCAGATCATTCTCATAATGTCCAAAATTTTGTTGATGTTTAAAAATGGTTGGTAGAGTTTTTTGATACAGGCCTCACTGTTGGGGATGATCTGATATAGGGAAGTGCCTTGAACTCTTCCAATGAATTCTTTGAAACAGATAGCCATGGAATAATGTGTAGTCTCAATAGAGAATTCCTCTTCCCATCAAGGATATTGCTCATGATGTTAAATCTTCAATCCCTGATGAGCAGTAATAATTACAACATTTTATTTATTTATTTATTTATTTATTTATTTTAAATGTTTATTTATTTTTGAGAAAGAGAGAGAAAGAAACAGTGAAGAAATGGGTAAAAGATATGAACAGACACTTTTCCAAAGAGGATACCCAGATGGCTAACAGACATATGAAAGGATGTTCAACATCACTCATTATCAGGGAAATACAAATCAAAACCATAATGAGATACCACCTCACACCTATCAGAATGGCTAAAATTAACAGCTCAAGAAACAACAGATGTTGGTGAAGATGTAGAGAAAGAGGAACACTTTTGCACTGCTGCTGGGAATGCAAACTGGTTCAGCCACTCTGGAGAACAATATGGAGGTTCCTCAAAAAATTAAAAATAGGGGCCTCTGGGTGGCTCAGTTGGTTAACATCTGACTTTAGCTCAGGTCATGATCTCACAAGAGTTCAAACCCCACATCAAGGTCTGTGCTGACAGCTCAGAGCCAGGAGCCTGCTTTGGATTCTATCTCCTTCTCACTCTGCCTCTCCCCCGCTTGTGCTCTGTCTCTGTCTCTTTCAAAAATAAGTCATTATTAAAAAAATTTTTTAATTAAAAATAGAATGATTTTGTGATCCAGCAATTGCATTATTAGGTATTTATCCAAAGGATACAAAAATGCTGATTCGAAGGGGCACATCCATGCTCCATGTTTATAGCGGAGCTATCAACAATAGTCAAATTATGGAAAGAACCCAAATGTCCATTGACTGACAAATGGATAAAGAAGATATGGCATATATATACAATGGAATATTAGTCAGTGATCAAAAAGAATGAAATCTTGCCACTTGCAACAACATAGATGAAACTAGAGGGTATTATGCTAAGTGAAATAAGTCAGTCAGTGAAAGACAGATATCATATGATTTCTACTCATATGTAGAATTTGAGAAACACGACAGATGAACATAGGGGAAGGGAAGGAAAAATAAGATAAAAAACAGAGAGGGAGGCAAACCATAAGAGACTCTTAAATACAGAGAACAAACTGAGGTTTCCTGAAGGGGTGTTGGGTGGAGGGATGGGTTAAATGGGTGATGGGCATTAAAGAAGGATCTTTTGGGATGAACGCTGGATGTTATATGTAGGAGATGAATCACTGGGTTCTACTCCTGAAACCAATATTACACTATATGTTAACTAACTAGAATTTAAAATTAAAGAAGAAAAGAATATCTTAAATCTATTTCACACAGATATTTGAAATAATAAAAATTCTGGAAAATTTCAAATCAAAATTGTGTCTATAAAGCAAGTGAGGATATTCACAAAATGCTATCTGAATTTTTAACACAGTTTAATATGAAGTTTTATTATTTTTTGCATTTTTTAAATGCTTTAATTTATATACAGTATATAAATAGCATGTTTCTTTTTTTTAAGACTTTATTTATTTAGGCCCGTGTTAAATTTACAGAATAACTGAGCAGATAGTACCTAGAGTTCAATATATGCACCCTGCCTCCAACTCCATAGTCTCCCTTATTATTAACATCTTGCATTAGTGTAGTATATTTGTTATAATTGATGAACCAATATCGATACGTTATCATCAACTATAGTCTTTTATTTATGTTAAAGGTCACTCTTGGTATGGGGCACTTCTGTGGGTTTTGACAAATGCTGTATGACGTGAATCCATCATTACAGTTTCTTAGAGAATAGTTACACCAACCTAACAATCCCCTGAGACATTATTTCCATGAGGCCTTTTTCTCTCCATGGCACTTCATCTCCTAGAGTTATTTTGTTATTATTATTCTTAGTATTATCATCATCATCATCATCATCATCATCATTATTCAAATCCAAGTTGGTTAACATATAGTGTAATAATGATTTCAGAAGTAGAATTTAGTGATTCATCACTTACATATAACACACAGTGCTGATCCCAGTTGAGTGCTCCTTAATTCACATCAATGGCACATCACATTAATTCACATCACAAAAATGGCAAGATTTCATTCTTTTTCATCTCTGAGTTGTATTCCATTGTGTATATATACCACATCTTTTTTATTCATTCATCTGTGATGGAGATTTGGGCTCTTTCCATAATTTGATTATTGTTGATAGTGCTGCTATAAACATGGGGGTGCATATTCCCCTTCGAATCAGCATTTTTGTATCCTTTGGATAAATACCTAATAGTGTAATTGCTGGGTCATAGGGACCTCCATACTGTTTTCCAGAGCGGCTGCACCAGTTTGCATTCCCACAATGAGATACCACCTCACACCTGTCAGATTTAAGGTATCCTTTTCATTATTTTGCTCACTGACATTGTAGAATTTATTAGATCAATGAGCTTTGCCCGCATATGATTTCCATTCTGATCAAATGTATTTAGTATTTTCAACTTTTCACACTACCGCTCTGAGCCCCATTTATTCACAACCTCTGACTGCTATTCATATTTTTTGTTATGATAATCAAATTGTTTTTCACTGCAGAAACAGAAATCATTTACTTTATTTTGTACTTTTCTTGCATAGTAAAGAAAAGTAGTAAAGAAACATTCTGGGCTGTTCTGAGTTGGGCCCTATAGCAGATGTTCTGGGCTGCAATTCATTATTTGTTTCAT